GTTGAGCTGATGCGCGGCGTACCGGACCGCAAACGGCCACAGAAAATGGGGGGCAGCCGCATGGATCATGGAGGTACGAGCGACCTCCATGACTAAGCCAATGCGGCGCTCAGCAACCCCATTCTGCTGCGGAGAGGCCGGAAGCGTGAAAGTCTGGCGGATGCCGTGCTCCGCACAGAAGGCTGCCAAGAGGGCTGAGGAGAACTCACCACCTCTGTCAGAGTGCAGACGCAGGACAGGAAAGTCCGACTGGAACCGCTCGCGGAGCTGGAGACGAGTAGCGCGGATCCAGGGGATCAAAACATCAGGGACATCCCCCTTGCGCTGCAAGGGGAAGACCGTGGTGTAGCGCGTGTAGTCGTCGACAACCAGCAGGAAGTACCGCTCGTGGCCCTGTCCACGGACGCGGGCTGGGCCCCACACGTCAAGGTGGAGAGTCTGCAGTGGAGCCTTCGTGGGAGGGAACGAGGAGGAGTGAGGAGCGGCGCGCTGCCGCCCCTCGACGCAGGGAATGCAGGGCGGCGCAGGAGAGGGAGGGAGGGGAGGCAGAGACCTGGGAAGACCAGAACCCAGGAAGCGGGAGTGCATGCTGCGTAGGCGAGGCAGGGAGGGGTGACCAAGGCGGTGGTGCCACAGGAGAGTGTCGTGCGACAGCGGGCGACACTCACACTGTGTAGCTACCTGAGCAGACGCGTGCAACTGGGGAGACAAAGGGGCGGAGCGTGACGCAGTGGTGAGGGTGTACAGACTGGACCCTGGCGCACGAGCGAATGTGGCCAGGTGGCGACCAGTCTGGGAGCACGTGCAAATCGCCACACGCTACCGGCCAGGGGTGAAGGTGTCAACCCCCGCATCCTGGAGGACAGCGTTACTCACCAAGTTCGTAGAGAACGAGGGGAGGTGGAGACCAGACAGCTCACCAGACGGGACCGCCGGACACGGAAGCACAGTGGAAGACCGTGCAAGCACTGGGCCCCCAGAGGGGTCAGCCAGTGAGACAGGAACAGGTGCAGGGAGGGGAGTGACTGTGGTACTGTCGCGAAAGAAGCAGTGGGAAGCACTAGAGTCAAGTGTAAAGGTGTGCAAAGCCTGTGCAGGCGCAGTACCAAGGGGAGCAGACTCACAAGCACCTATTGCTGCAGGGGCTATACCAGGATCCGGCGGCACACACAAGTAGCAGTCACCCTCAGCACTAACAGACAAGGCATACATAGCAGCAAGAATTGCCTCATAGTCAAGATCAAAGGTAGGTACATCACGCCTAAGCAAGTCTGCCCAGTTGGGGAACTCAGGAGCATCAGGAAACTTGGCGCGCCAGGCGTCGCTAAGCCGAGCGAAGCAGCGCTGCTCAGTGTGAAAACCTGTGCACTGGCGACCAACGCGGGGACCTGTGCGGATGATATAGGGGCAGCGACCAGGACCCCCAGAAGCCCCACGCCCGGCATACCAGTCAAGAAGTTGCTGGGAAGTGGGGGTCTGGCGCTGACGCTGATGCTGCTGCTGCTGCTGCGGCTGCTGCTGGCCCTGACCACCAATGCCACTACCGCTCCCTCCTCCCCCACCGCCGCTGCTGCCCCCTCCACCGCTCCCAGTGCCTCCGCCGCCCCCACCACCACCTCCACCGCCTCCACCCCCACGAACACCCCCACCACCTCCACCTCCCCCGCCGCCTGCACCACCGCCACCTCCACCGCCACCCCCACCGCCCCTGCCACCCCTGCCGCCCCTGCCGCTGCGACGCTTCCCACTAGGAGCGGAAGCAGCTCCGACCCCCTTAGCACCAAGGTAGTCGTGAGCAGCAGCTGCGGAGGCGTAGGAGGGGGTGAGAGGGGAGGGGGAGCACCCCTCAAAGAGGGGAGAGCGAGGAGTGCCACGAGCAGCACCTACAGCGAGGATGTTCTTCTCTGCTGCGAGGAGATGCTTCTCGAAGTCGTCGACAGTGAGAGTGGTGGGGTCTAGCGCTAGGAAGTGGTCCCTGACCGAGCTAAGAGTGTCAGGGAGGCGGGTGACAAGGAAATAGAGAGTGAAGTACATCGGGGGGGGGTTTGCGGCGCAGAACTCGGCTGAAAGGGCGGCACGAAAGCGAGAGTCAGTAGCGCGCAGGTGAGAAACTAGGTCCTCAGCAGTGGTGAACAAGGAAAGATCGGGGAACAGGTACGGTAGCATGACTCGACCTATGGCTGTAGTGGCCGGGGAGGAGTAGCGTGCAACTACAGCGTCGTACAGTGTCTTAGCAGTTCTGTGCTGGCTGAAATGCGCTCGCTCAGTAATCGGCAGGTGGTTCCTAATAGCTAGGCGTGCAGCAGCATCACGAGTCTGCCACTAGGAGCGTTCTAGAGCAGGAGCATCAGCAGCAGGAGTAACGGCAGTGCCAGAGACGTAATCAAACAGGGAAACGCCCTCTTTGGCATCAGTCAGAAGGAACAGCTGGAGATCGTCTAACCACACAGTGAACTCGATGGGACGACCGTCAGGCTCGAACGCTAGAACGTTAGGCATCGCCATATTGGCTTAAGGCAGGAGGCAGCAGGCAGCAGGCAGCAGGCAGAGGCAGCAGGCACCAGGTAGGAGGCAGGAGGCAGAGGCAGGAGGCAGAGGCAGGAGGTAGGGGCAGCAAGCAGCAGGCAGGCAGCAGCAGGCAGCAGGCATGCAGCAGGCAGGCGGCAGGCAGGCGGCAGCAGGCAGCAAGCAGGCAGGCGGCAGCAGGCAGCAAGCAGCAGGCAGGCAGCAGGCAGGCAGCAGGCAGGCAGCAGGCAGGCTGCAGGCAGGCGGCAGCAGGCAGCAAGCAGCAGGCAGGCAGCAGGCAGGCAGCAGGCAGGCGGCAGCAGGCAGCAAGCAGGCAAGCAGGCAGGCGGCAGGCAGGCGGCAGCAGGCAGGCGGCAGCAGGCAGCAAGCAGCAGGCAGGCAGCAGGCAGGCGGCAGCAGGCAGCAAGCAGGCAGGCGGCAGCAGGCAGCAAGCAGTAGGCAGGCAGCAGGCAGGCAGCAGGCAGGCTGCAGGCAGGCGGCAGCAGGCAACAAGCAGGCAGGCAGGCAGGCGACAGGCAGGCGGCAGCAGGCAGCAAGCAGTAGGCAGGCAGCAGGCAGGCAGCAGGCAGGCTGCAGGCAGGCGGCAGCAGGCAACAAGCAGGCAGGCAGGCAGGCGACAGGCAGGCGGCAGCAGGCAGCAAGCAGGCAGGCGGCAGCAGGCAGCAAGCAGCAGGCAGGCGGCAGCAGGCAGCAGGCAGCAGGCAGGAGCGGCCTGAGGGCTGCGTGAGGCTGCTGGTTGCGTGTGGCGGCTTGCTGCACGAGGCTGCAGGCTGCGCGTGGCTACGGGCAGCGCACGCAGCCGCAGGCTGCGTGCGGCGACGGGCTGCGCGGGCTGCATGCTGCTTGCAGCTGCGGGCTGTGCGTGGCGACAGGCAGCGTGCGCGGCTGCAATCTGCGTGCGGCTGCGGGCTGCGCTGGGCGACGGGCCGCACGTGCGCGGCTGCGGGCTGGTCGCTAAGTTGCGGGATACGCTGGGCGACGGGCCGCGCTGGCGTGGCCTAACCAGGTTGCGCGCGGGCGGCTTAAGGGGCGCACAGGCGGGGCCAAAACGGGCTACGCTGGCTGCTGAAGCGGCGCACGTGGGAAAAAAAAAAAGGACCGCCCGAGGCGCGCGCGAATAGCCGAGGCGCGCACGGGCACTAGGCGAGGCAGACAGGTACGGTGGGCCCTAATCCTAGGTCCTAAGGACCTATGCTCTAGATGCCATGTTATAATCCTAGGCAAAAGTTGTGTCGAGTATCGAGAGAGTTGGTACAAAGGAGAAACCTAAGGGGTTGTACCCCACAGTGAGTACCCCACTAAGCCTACCCAAACTATAACATATATATACATATGTTTGACAAGAGCAACGAACAAAACTGCGGAAAGGGGCGGGCGGCGTTCAGAGGAGCAAGTTGGCAAGGTCGCTGGCAGAGGAACAACATTTGTTTGGAAACATCACGGTCGCGGATGGGACGAAGTGGAAGTGGACAAATGGCTTTGCAGCCATCTGGTCCAAGCAACGTAGGGCACGTGGCCATGTTTAAGTACCCCCCCTGGGGTCCGGCTCACGCCGCTCCCCTCGAGCACAGTTACGACTGTATTTGATTTTATACTCTTGCTAATTTCCGGTGTATTCTTTCAATTTAATAATAATAACAATAAAAGCAATTGTCATCCAACTTATGGCAAAGTTCCCCAGGAGATTGAGACTCATTTTCGTCTCAAACGCGTACATATACACCAACCCAACCCAACCCAAACCTTGCTCTTTCCTTCCAAATGACTGTTTGCGTCGGAGACGCGTGTGCTGTAGCATTTCAGTTTCTGAAGGCATATCTTCCAATCCCCGATCGTGCCGGATCGTTGTGATCCACTCTGAATGGCGGGAATCCCTAGATTATGCTATCATGCCTAGTCCGATCCGAAGCTACCGCCATTCGTCGTTTTGGAATCTTGTTACCAGCCCACTACTACCTGTCCCGTCTTCGTGGCGTCCCCTCGACCTTCCGTAGAAATAGAAGCAGGGACTTCGTGACGCACATGAGCATATTGGTACCACGTCTCGTGGATCTGTCGAAGGTGGATCTGTCAATGATAGTCATGCCTCACAGGAATGAGTTCGTAGCTATGATTCGTGAGACCACGTCGCGTGGATCTGTAGTAGGTGGACCATTCTGGCGATATGGCGGAGCCTCGGAAGGATTTGTAGATTGGTTTTTGAGGGTCCCGTCCGTGCAGATTGGAGATCGTAGCTCAGCTCGATCGGATCTATGACATCCGTAACGGATCGCGTGTCCTTCCAACGTGCTTGCTTCTTCCTTCCGCCTAATTTCCCTTCATCTCCGATTTTCACGACGACATTCGCTACTGCTCCACTCTCTTGCTTGGAGATCCGCACCCTGTTAAGGAGCCTACTATCAAGCATGACGGGCCCGAGGAAGGCACAATGGTTTCTCCTTCCATGTCCCTCATGTTGATCAGACTGATTTGACCTACTGAGCACTGGGCAGGGGGGAAGGGAAAAGGGAAATGGGAAGGGGAAAAGGGGGGAGGAGAAGGGGGAAGGAGGTGGGAGGGGGAATATGGGGGAAGAGGGGAGTGAGGAGAGGGGAGGTGGGAGGCGAGAACAGGGAGGAGGAGCGGCGTAGGAAGAAAGGGAGGAGGAAGGTAGGGAAGGGAAAGGAAAATGAGAGCGGAAAATGAGAGCGGAAAATGAGAGCGGAATAAGGGGAGTTGTAGAGATCTGCTATTGGCTATCACATGTTTACCAGATCCCTCCCCCTTCCATCAGTTCACTTCTAATTCTCAAAGCCTTTTCCACTGCCTTTTCCCCCAGCTGCTCAGGATGATTTAACGTTGAGGTGAGGCTCGCTGCTGCTCGGTCCATCACCGCAACGTAAGTTACAAGTTCATTTAAAATTTCAAGTTCTGACAAACCAAGAGGAATAAGCACGTCCACTCTATTAGTACTACAAGCTATCGACAACAATAACACAAATCAAACCAGGAACGAGCAAGAGGGGTCATGGATTAAGTTCGCCATTCAATCACGACACACTAGGCGCTACGCGGCCAAACACCATGTCCTCTGCAGTGACCACAGCCCTTCCACGCACTCTAAAGAGGTTGTGCTGCTGCTGCAATAGTCCTCTTTCAAACGCGTTCTCTTCGCCATGTTGCCCTTCCGTTGATTCCATCCCTCGGGAGTAGCTTCTCCTGTGCCTGTTGCTGGTCATGCCATAGTTTTCATTGTTGTTATTGCTGTCGCCGCTGCCGCTGCTGCTGACGCGGGCAAATCCAGTGCTGGTTGCAAGTTTAACGCCAGTGTATCTTGCACTGTTGCTCCGCATTGAAGCACCTGCGTCGTTGTCACACTCGCTGCAGCCAATGCCGGATGAAAACTTGGGGTGTATGCTACGCCCGGCAGTGCACCAGCCACGGTGCATCAACAGTGAGGCCGAACGCTCCTGGGTGGCAGCGGCAAAATTCTGGGCGGCAGCACTGTCCAGCTGGAAGCTGAGATCTTCCGGAACAGCGTAAAAATGGCTGGCTGCTTTTGGGCGGCTGGAGCCTTGAGCTGAGCAAGGAAGGGAGGGTGATGGCGATGGTGGGGAGGGTGGGCATGTGGGGGAAAGCATGGGGGATGGGAACGTGGAATTCGTTGCAGCAGATGAGGTGGGGGAGAGGGTGAGCGAGTGGGTGAGGGCTCGAGCGAAGTGGGACGTGGGGGTGGTGGGGCGTTTGGCGCAGCAGCAGGCGCAGGGAGTGCGGTAGAGGGATGGCATGGGGGAGGGGGAGAGGTTGCGCCGGTCGAGGGAGAGGAGAGGAGGCTGCAGGGTCGGTGCTTCCGGGAGCTGTGAGGGGGAGCAATTCGCAGACGATGCTGCAGACGAAGCTGCTGAAGATGTTGCTGCACTCCAGCGGGAGCTCTCCCCCAATGAGGCATTTCTTCTCATGGTGCGAGTGCTGGTGCTGCTGTCGCTGCTCTTGCTAGCAGTGATGGTAGGGTTGTTGTTAGAGAGGGTCCGGGTAACCACATTGGTTTCAGAGATGTTGTACGTGTTACCGAGAATGCTCGCCATCAGTCCCTCCTCCGTTATAGTCACATCGTCTAGAGCGTGCTCTTCCTCCTCCATTTGGATCCCAACCGCACCATGATCCGCGTTAGTAGCACCGTCTCGTTGAAAGGTCAATGCGGCGGGAGCACTCTCGTCATCTCTTGGATTGATTCTGTTGACATCTGGAGCTGGAAACGCGGCGGCGTTCGTCGGAGCTTGTGGCGTCTGGAGGAAGTACACGTGGCCCGGTTTCATCACCTGCTGCGGGCGGAGAAAGCCATTGGATGACGTCAACGACCCCACCTGACAGCCTGGGCGATTCTGAAGCACGTCGCTTGCGCGGGTGGGCCTCTTACTGTCGTCATTCGCGGCGGAGGTCGCGTCACCAGCCAATTTTGGGCTACGCGACTCGGCGACAGAATGGGACGTGACGATTTGGACGGAGCCATCGGGAAGGAGAAGAAGCGCTGGCTCGCCGTCCGCTTCAGTTTCGGCAGAACCGACGAGTGGCGGTGGCGAACGTGAAGCTGACCGCGGCTTGGAGGCGGCAGCTGACTTCGGCGTCGCCGCCTTGGAAGTTCGCGCGGCTCCGGTTCCGGTGACGCCCCGCTTTCCGTCACGTTTCACGTCCCAGTTCTTCTGCGACGGAGTCAGCGCGCGGCCGTTGCTCAGCGCCTGAGTGAGGCGCGACCAGCCGCCCGCGGAGAACTTGGGCGGCGCGCGTGGGGCGCCGAATGATGAGCCATGATCCGGCGCCGGCCAATGCACCGATTCCGCCGCGGCGGCGGGCTCGAGATCCTCGAAGATCGAGTTGGCGAAGAGTAGCGAATGGATGGGTAACCCGGCGTTAGCGCCTCCGGGACACATGGCGACGGCGATGGCTGGTGATTGGTTGTAGGATGCGTACGATGATTATGGGCGACTTTTGATGGGGCAAATTTTAGGACTCGATCGGGGGGCGACTTTCCCCGCACTTCAAAACTCTAGATCTCCTTGCGCTTCGCTGCGCGAGTGCAACGCGAAGCAAATCTTTCGAAATTTGGGGCAAGTCACGAAGCTGCACGGCGGACTCCCGCGGACTGCTAAGGGTACCAATCGAAGAATCAAGTTGGATGCTGGGCTGGGAGTGTCCTTAGCTTGCTGCGCCGAAGAGTCACTCTCGTGAGGCTGGGAGTGAGATTTCCAAATTGTTGCTACTTTGCTATGCTGTACTGAGGATTTCACTTATTTGACCCAGGACGAACAATGAAGCCGTGACGGAAGAGGGAGGGGACAGGTATGGACGTACACTATATACTCGGTAGTTGAACAAATGTTTCGTAATCTCAATTTAGTGCGCCTGTGAAAGATTTTCTCTTGATTATGCTCTGGAAAAACACTATACGTCATAGCTAAAGCGGGTATATATCTATGTGTAGAAGAAAGTGGAACCTTATGTGCTTGTATCGGTAGCAGTATGATCCTGAGGCAGTATGATCCTGGTACTTAACTAGCTCGAAAACAACACCTGAGGTTCTTTTAAGCGTGGGTGTAGGCGGTCAAGAACGCTCAGGTGTGGTGGCTCTGGTGTCTAGAAATTCGAGGTTGAAGGAAGCACCACAAGCCACGATGGCGGCTCGGTTGACCAAGGCTATTCCGACCAAGCTGGTTTGGGGCCGAAGCGAAGTGAAGCGATCAAACCGGGTTTGATCTGGACTATGGATAGAGTACTCAGTACCCGGAATTCCGCGAATTCATCTTATTAATCCTGGTTACCGAAAATGTTTAGAACAACTCTGCAACTTAGGTTAGGCCTTCTCGTGACGCTTAGTACAATGTCAAAATTTCATGGACGCTCTGGTGCGCTGGATCTGGTGTCTCACGATTTGAAGGAGCCGTTCTACTGGACCAAGTGTTTGAAAAGGACGTTTGTGCATTTCCCTTGAAATCATCCCAAGGAGGACTTCCACGCCCCTTCAAGCCACACATCCAATCGCCAACGCTTCATTATTCCACGTGCTGACACACAATTGTTGCCTTGTCGTTGCTTCATTTACGAAATCCCATCCCGCCCAAGAGCCGCTTTCTCCACCCCTCTCTCTCTCCCTCCACCCCCTCTCCTGCCCTCTCATCTTGACGGTTGACCACACGTTTGGTCGGGATTGTGGGACCACACAGTCGAACGCGTGCAACGCCACCACACGAAGAGGATCTCGATTCCCAGCAAGTTCTCAAACTCCACATTCCTCACAAACATTGAATCATATGTTTCGTCTAAACATTCTTGAGACAAAGTCATGACTCGTTCTCCCCTGAAATGACAACGATATCGACATTCAAAATTTATACAATATTCTGCAACTTTGTCGATGGACCCTGAATCAGAAGGTGTAACTTGAATATTACTCAAATCCGGCCGTGATTTAAAACTGTACGGGGGGGCTGGTGGCGGCGGAAAGTGGAGGTTTTGGTTTGGTCATGAGCTGGTTTGGTTGCGTTGCGATGCGACCACAGAGGGCCACACTTTTTGGACAAACGGGCACGGGCAACACCCACAGCTGCTTTCAAGCTTCAGTGGCAAGCTGGCATGTGCAAAACTTGCCTTGCTGGATTTGAGAAGGGGTTTTGATTGGCCAAATGAACGTTGGCGGGCAACGAGTTGTGTATACAGACGACAACACCACCAACTTTCCGGCCCTCATACGAAGTTTCGTGAATCCCTGGGACTCCCTCATGTCAGCAAAAGTGTGTGGGTGACACAGCAGGACCGTTCCAGGTCAGCAAAGCGTGTGGAGAACTCTTGGCGCACGCTTTTCACGAGATTCGACAGGTTCGCACCGCAACGCATGACACCCGTACACTGTACCCGAGTACACTGTCAGAGGAATCGCCCTGCTTTTGCCGAAAATCATACCTTATGTCAGAACTTCTGAACAATGACACGGTTTTTTGGGAAAATATGCCGTTCGTAACCATCATGGGACTCGAAAACAATTTTGGTAAAAAAATAAAGGGTACGGTCACTGCAAAGGGTGTTTTCACGCGACTGATAAAGGGTTTCACGGAACCAGCCACAATCAGCTGGTAAAAAAAAAAAAACGCGAATGGTCACAGATGAAACTCCCGCCAAAACAAAATGAAACCAAGAAAGAACCTGGATGCATTTTCGGATGATTAACCCTAAACACATAACTCGCCAGGTGTTTAGGGTTGATCCGTTCCCAAACCGCATCCGATTCCGATTGGGTTTTAGTTTTTTTACAAGTTCGCAGATTGGTTGGGCGCGAGCGGGAATTTTGTTGAGTTTCAAGTTTTTTTGGCGGGAGTTACATATGTGACCATTCGCGTGATTTTGTACCTGTTGTTAGTGACTGAATCCGTGACCCCGCTTACCAAACCCGTCAGAAAACCCGATACAGTGACCGTTCGGGTTTTTTTTTTACCATTCATGTTATCGAGTCCCAAGTTGGTTACTTGTGGCATACTTTCCCCGGTTTTTTTCAATGTTCCCAGCGGTTTGAACAATTGGTGTACATCTCAACCACGCCTTGTCCGCTTGTGTGACACCACCTCCTCCTCCTCCCCCTTTTCCTTCGCTCACCCTCAGAAGTGTTTTCTCACACACAAGTCTCGTACCGATACTAGTTGGACGACTAGGACGACTTGGACTTGGCTCATGTCCCTTCCCTTACCCTCGCCCTGCAGCAACCTCTCCACACCAAATTTGGAGTTGGATTCGGGCAACTGTCCTGACTACTACCCGCAGAACAGATCCCGCCCCCTGAACCCAAGTGTCGTTTCAGAAGGGCTAGTACACACTGGATGGGTATTACTGAAAAATTGTGTGGTACCTAAGACGAGTTCTCACACGCGACATCCAGATTAGTGTCACGTTTATGGATACAGGCAACATTTCTCGCCACCTGTCCGACAAGATTTCTCTGAAACATTTTGACCTAGAAGTAACAAAATAAACCCCTAGGGACTCGGACTCATTTCGGGAAGCATCAACCCTAAACACGGGAATGGCCAGGTGTTTAGGATTTACGTTATGAAAGCGTTACAATTGGGAGATGATCAGCCCTAAACACGGGAACCGGCAAGGTGTTTGGAGTTGACGCATTGAAAGTAAATATTGGTCCCTAAGGGGTTTACATTTTATACACCATAAAAAACCAGCATTTGGTTCAGTCGCACGTAAATTTTGCAGGCACATGAAATCAACACGAGCGTGGACACGTGACGAACAAAACCGCCCGTAGACATGAAACGTGACAATAATCTTGGGGAGAACTTGAGATCGGAAACAAAATTTGTTTCTATGAAGCCCACCCATTATGTACTTACCCGTTTTAGAAGCTCCACCAACCATTTCAAATCTTCATGCGATATCCTCCATATCAACGCTGAGATCACAAATCTCGGATGATGTACTGGAGATTTACTACCTTCTGACAAACAGCCTACAGTGTTATCATCCCTCCTATCACCACCCTAGTCTAACAGTACTACTGAAGCCCTTGCAGTTCACAACATTACCTGGTCTTTGAAGTTACATGCAATATTGAGGATTCAGGGTTTACGGTTCAGGGTTAGGGTTTAGCACCAGGGATCGGGTTTCATATGAAATTACTGTGACTGATACCAGACAATCTAGAAGTAGGCATACAATAGACAATCAATTTTAGTTGTGAACACTGTTATCCACGTTGTCATTTAGACTGATAAACTACATTGGTTGCTTTTTGGCAACACGGGCATGAGCAGGATCATGGGTGGCTGAACCACACACGGATAATGTGTCGCCAAATGGCACGAATAAGACAAGCCTGGAAACAAGTGCCCTACAACTCCGAGGTGTACAATCCTAGCCTGCAAGGTGCAAGCACGCAACAAACTACCTTAAAATGGTATGTGCAATGCACATGCATTCCCTGTACACCTCAATAAGCTACAATGCACTCAAGGTATCCCCAATCAATTTGCGCCAAACGCCACTGTCTTCTTCGCCTGTGTCAAAGAGCCCATCCGCTGCAAGCCACCCTCTCCTCCCCTCCCTCCCACACCTCTCCCCAGACTCGCCCCCACATCATTCCCACCACTATCCCCTGGCACACAAGAACTCGTTCGTCTCAGGCAGGATTTGATCCCCTGACCACCACCACCAGCACCCATGCTGCTTCCGCCTCTTCCACTTACACTATCTAAACCACCAAATTCACTACTGATGCCACTACCATTATGCTGACACTCACTGATTTGAGCCGCGGACGCGCCTGGTAGCATCCCAGAGGAGCCTCTGACCAATCGCAGAGATGGTTTATCCGCAGAGGAAATATTCACATTAGAGTCACGTCCCCCAAAGTCACCTTGCACGGATGAAGACCGCTGGTGTGATGCCCGCCCCACGCCCACCCTCCCAGGCAAGGGGGGCACAGGCATTGAGGAAGAAGCCGCATGCCCCTGGCCATAGCTGTTACCGCCCCTTTCCTGGTTACCGCTCCTCTCCTGGTTACCACCACCCCTGTCCTGGTTACCACCAAGACCACCACCGGTCTCCGCAGCAGCCATGGCTGCGCGCAAGGCAAGTTGATCCTTGGAGATTTGCCTCATCAGCGGGCCCATGCGGATGCCTGATGGGTGGAACAGCGGAGCAGGGGCGGGCGGCAGGTTTGCGGCTGGCATGGGCGGCATGGGCTGATTGGCTGGGGCGGATTGCATGGGGGGAGGTGCGTATGAGGGTGGTGCTTGTGGCATGGGCTTTTGAGAGGCGGGTCGCGAAGGCTGCGAGTTGTTGCAGTTACTGCTGTTACTGACGCCGCCTGCGTTCGCCAGGATCACCTGCCCTGGCTGGGACTGCGACCTCTGCAGTGGCGACTTGCGAAGTGGTGGTAACTGGTTACCACCCGGTGGCAGGCTACCCTGGGACACCAGCCTACCAGGCGAATTTCCACCTGAGTTCCCACCTGAAATTCCGCCTGAACCTGCACCAACTCTGCGTCTGACCGTTGGATCAAGACCACCAGAGCCCGAGGAAGGGTTCAGATGCCCAGACGCGGGAATCCCTTCAGCACCACTGGGACCGAAGCTCACCCCTATATCCTCCCATCCATACCCCTCCATCTCCTCCTCTGCCTCCTCCGCCTCCGCCGCCTCCTCCTCCCACTCGCACTCCCCTCTCTCCCGCCCTTCACTGTAGAAATCGTCCGCGCCCGTTGCGCGGCCCCCTGCGCCTTGTCGCGCCCAGCTTTCTCCTGCGCCTGCTCTCAGTCCCGCGCTCTCCTCATTCCGCCGCGTCCCGCTCCCGCGCCCCCCACTGGGCGGGCGCGCATTTTGCTGCGCCATGGGGTACGCGGCGGGCGCGGCACCCGCTGAGCAGAGCGCACTTGCGCGGAGGAAAAGGTGTTCTAGCAGTTGCGCGGCGGAGGGACGGCGCGCGGGATCCCTTTCGAGGCATCTCCGCAAGAACCCGACAGCTTCCGCCGACAGATGCGCCGGAATAGCCGGCGCCGCGTTCGAGTAACCAATCGCGTGCAGCAGAGCGTCAGGGGACGGATCGGCCATGTACTCGCCGTCTATAATACCGGCCGGTGGCAGTTGACCGGTCCAAGGCGGCGAGCCCGTCGCCATTTCGATCACTGTACACCCGAACGACCAAACGTCCGATGCGAACCCTTGATCTTCCTGTCGCACGACCTCCGGCGCCATCCAGCCGTACGTTCCCTGCAGCCGCTGCTTGCGCGCGATGCGCTGCGCCGCTTCCCCCGCGCGCATCGCCACACCCAGCCCGCACAGCTTCGTCTCCCCCTTCCCCCCCGCAACAAGCACATTCGCCGCTTTCACGTCACAGTGCACCATCCCGCGCGCGTGCAGCTCCGCCAACCCTTCCGCAATCCCACGCGCGTATTTCCGCACCAGCGCCTCCGGCAGCCCTCCGCATCCCCCGCCTCCGCCGCCGTTGTCGCGGCCGCAGCATCCGAACGTGCCCATGATATCAAGCACACTCCCAGCAGAGACATACTCGAGAAACAGATTCTTCACCCGAGCCCCCGACGCAGGGTCGGATTCCCATGCCGAGCCTAGCAGCCGAACGACGCGCGGGCAGGTTCGGAGCTCCTCCAGAATCGCCTGCTCGTTCTCCAGCTGACGCATGGTCTTAGGAAGGCTACTAATAGACACGGACTTGACCACCAGAACCTCGCCCGTGTCAGAATTTAACGCGAGATTTACTTTTCCGGTGGGGTCGCCGCCTAGATTAGGTCCACGAATCCAGCGTATAGCCACCGCCGCGCCGCCACCCGCTGAAGTGATGGAGCCGGCGGAGGCGGCGTGTGTTGCGGCGGCGGTTGCGGACGCCAGCTGCTGCATCTGGTTCCGAGACAAGTCGGAAGGGTGGCGGGGATGGGTGGAGTAGGATGATGGTTCTGATTGGTCGGCGTAAGATCCTCGGTTCTTGAGAGGCGACTCGAAAGAGCGTGGCGCGGACAGCTCGTGTCGCATGTCGTGCGGCGCAAGGGACGAACGCGCGGCTATATCAGCCGCCATGACGAATCAAAACTCGCGCGACTCCACGCGCCTCTTCAAGCTTAACAAAACGCGCGCAAGTTGAGGCCAACGTTTATTTCTTTGTTCTCTTTCCCCTAGCGGGTCCTAAGAGGGATCCTTCAGCTACCGCTGCGGGCTGCCGCGGGCTAGTATGCCGGTGACTGGGTTGTGAATGTTGTGGGTGCCTGCCTGCGTAGCCAAGTGACGGATGAGTACGAGAAATGATGTTTTAGCGATGCGAAAGAGAGTGGTGCTAGGTTCTGTGCTGAAAGTGACGGTTCGGGCATCGGAATAGGGACGCTTTGCTCACTCTCCCTCACCTGATGAGTTCTGGGTTGGTCAGAAGAAGGATACGTGTGGTGTGGAAGCTGGCGTGGCAATGCAAAATGAACGCATGAAAGAGGCGACAATGCTTGCCAGTGGAATAATGTGGAAGGCAGTATAAATGATTGTTGACAGATTCATATGCTGTGAGTGGAAATAGGAGGTGCATAAGCCGCTGGAATCCTGGATACGAGAAGGTGTAATGGAATGGAATGGGGAATGTTGAGTCGACAACGACTAGTCACTCTCGCTGATGCGATGGAATGGAAGGGATGAATGAATGAAATGGAACGAAACTGGTTCACATGATGGAGAGTGATGAATCGGGCTCGGGGTATGAGTGGAGGTGCAGCCTCCCCTTCCTCCAAGTGGCCTGTGGTGGAATGTACTGTACTGGCCTGCCATTCCATGTATCATTGATCGAACGGTATGAAAACAGAAAGGTTCCACATGGTTTTAGTATTTTCGGATGCTTTGGAGTGGGTTTTTATTAGGTGGTTGGTCGTCATTTGTAGCCAGCTTGCAATTGCGAATGACCATAGCGCGTCGATTGACACACCGCTGCACCTCGTACTCGGAATCGCTGTGGAGCCACCTCATGTCATAATGGATGGGGGCGCCAGTGGCAGGAAGTTTTGGCAAAGTGGCTGCCCGTGGTCGAGCTGGTCCAGACGTTGAAACTGGCTGACCAGAGAGCGGAATAATAGATTTCAACACCTACAGCCTACAGTACAGTTGACATTCTGGGCAAAGAAAGTTCTAACTGATGCGTGACTGCCCGGATTTTCTGTCAATAGTGCTGACGAGGAGTTGGTTAGAAGCGGCCTGCACCATGAGCAATTCTGAAACTTTTCCAACCAATCCAGGTGTCGTCACCTGGCTTGGCTTTGGCACCCCACCGCTTTATTCTCCCTTCAATATAAGCACGATGTGACAAGTGCACCGAAATACGGGGTCGTTGCGAATCTAATGTAATAAGTGCTATGCACGAGCATACTAACAAGAGAAATCGCTTTCACCAGAAAACACAAATAAACCCTTCTCATACCGTCATAAGGGGAGAAATGTTGCTGAGGCGCAGTCACGTGCCTAAGTTTCTATGATGGACACTATAAGGTGCCACAAGCTTAGCAGAGTAAAGGGGGGAAGGGGAGTTTGGATAAATAACTAGTCCAGCAAAGTGACAGTAGGGTACTAGCTCCACTCCTCACTCCAAGTGCCACTGCTGCTGTCTATGTACAACCCAGAAAGTCGGCTGGAACCTGCTTTCCGTCCATGGCTGTAATTCCCTTCATTGCTCTCCCCGTGCTTTTTGGAAAACCATCTTACCAGCGAAGCCTTTCCGTGTGAGTCGTGCTTCCCGTCACGTTTGTCTTCTCTTCCCGGTGAAGACACCACCCTAAAACTGCCACTCAGCAGACTGTGGGGACGGCTAGGGGAATCGTGAGGGGTGGTGTCGCGATCCTCTTGCTCTTCGGAAATCGGGATGCTGCCACAGCTGCTGCCGTTGACCGAGCCGCTACTGGGGAACCTCCTGGAAGGTGGGATTAACTTAGCCGCAAATCCGGGGCTTGTGTTATCATACGGAGCGATCAGAGCGATGGAGCTTGAGGAGGAGGGTCCAGAGGAGAATGATCCGTTGGACTCGGAAAAAGATCCGTTGGATTCGGAGAAAGATCCGTTGGACGAGAGCGAGTCCGGAGAAAGCTGCGTTGACGAAGCGTAAGCAAAGGGCGGGAGTTGCGTCAATGGATGCGCTGGCGACACGTGGCCGGTCCAGTTGTCGGCGGCGGGAGGGGTAGCGGCGGGACCGTTGGGGCCATCAGGGCAAAGGTGGGATTGCGAAGCGACCCGTCTGTGACGGTTGCGGTACGCGGCCGCATGGCTTCCGACATGCGCGGCGACTGGAGAGGCGAACCGGCGCTGCTGCTGTGCCATGGCGTGATGCGCGGCGGGGTGATCGCCGGAGAGCGGCATCACATCCGCCATTGCGAAAGTTGCGATTCCGCTCAAGTCATACCCGTGCCCGGAATCGTGAGTTGTGGATCGCGGGATCGTGCGCCTTCGAGACGCGTTCCCATCATCCGCCCAGGAGGCGTACCGCGAATGGTCGCCTGGAAGGGCTTCGGGGCCGCATCTGTCGTTCTCGGGCGCAAAACGTTTCGCCATCTCGGTTGCAAAATCGCCGGCGCGGCTGGTGGTATCGTCGACACATGCGCCAAACGCGCTGACCGCCTGCTCCACCGTCTGAAGTGCACTCGACCGCCGATTTGGCCTATTAGTAACGCCTTTAAAGGGCCGGGTCCCGGCAGCTGCGTCGGTCTCAAGGTTGGGTGCCGCCGTATCCGACTCGGGCGACGGGCTGTCGCGCTCCTTTGAAACGGATGGCTTTCGTGCCAAATTCTTGAAGGTTTTCTCTTCTGAATAGTCGCTCTCCAGCATCACCGCGCGGGTCAAGACGTGATACGTACGCCCCGGAAGGAGCACGGTATGGGTAGATAGAACGGCTTCGTCGGAGTCGAGGCTGCTGACGTGGCAGCCGGGGTACATAGTCATGACATCGCTGACGTGGACGGTGGCGTCTGGTTGGATAATGTTGACGCTGTTGTCAGGCAGTAGTAACAGAATGGAGTCGTCGTCCATCGCGTGGGCCTTTCCGAGAGCACTCGAGCAAAGGAAGGCGAAGGAAATGTATGGAGAACAAGAGCCCCTGAGTTGAGGGAATCAAGGTGGCTTTACAACAGCATTCCTCGAATTAGTAGAAGACTTCCTAAGTATGCGTAGCGTCCTTCCAAGACGAGAGAATGAACCAGAATGTTCCTTGAACTCAAAGCAAGCGACACAAAAAGCAGGCAGCGTGTTGATGTCAGGAGGAGCAACAGGCCACCACGTAAGAAACGCTCACCAAAAAGACGGTGTGAGTAAGAAAAGTGACTTTCCGCGTGTCTAATACCAACGGGATAGAAGCACTCCCTCTGCGCACCTTGCATTTTGATAAGGCTTGCTCCTTGCTTTGCTTGCTGCTATTCCTGCTGCTGCTTTTGTCTGGTTGGATGATCCCCTCCCCTGGACCGTACTGCCGAGAAAAGTGAATCTCGAATGCCACAAGCAACAAACTGCGTCCTCACGGAAAGTTGAATTCTCTGCCTTGGCCTATCGGCATGCAGATAAAAGGTCACTCGTCGACGTGGCTGCAGCAATTCTGTTTTGGCATCTTGCGCCGGGCAGCATTGAAAGCTGCTCTGCTTGAGCCTCAGCCAATAGCGTCGCGCAACGCGGCATAGTCAAGGTCGCCTAATGCTGCAAGAACAGCAACTTCCTGACCGGAAATTCAACTTTCAAGCAGACAGACCAGCTCCGGAATCAGGCAACGAGGATCCCGACGTCCTCCGTAAGGAGAAGTTTGGCTGGTTATTACTCAAAATATATATGATTGAAGTTTAGTGAATGCTTATGAGAGCTGGAAATTGCATAGTATACACTCTGGAAGCTGGATTGCTTACTAGATGTCTGACCAAAGGTCAGTCATCCAAGACACAGACCTGCCCCTATGACTGCACCGTCGTATGCTGTAAGCACTTATTTCTACCACAGACCTGCCCCTCTTCAGTCAGATTCCATTGCTAGATTCACACCCAAAACATAATGTGAATGTGAGTGAGCGAATCACAGCAAACTCGGCGCCACACTTCACAGTAATAGAAATCATATAAACAGCAATGAGTGGCTCTCGCGCACATGGTGAGCGGTGGCTTGAATTGTGGGGGATGCACTGATGCAGGAGTACGCTCCAGTAGCACAGGGGAAATCAGGTTAGTGTTATGAGCGATGCTACAGCGTTGTCGGGACCATGCCGACAATCCGCCTGAATGAAAATCAAGGAATGGGAGCTTCTGATCTATGATGGAACCCTGTTGTGCAAACTAAGCGGCTCCTTTCGAAAGCGTGGTTGTTACGATGGTCGGCGTGCAAATCGCCGGAATGAAGGAATTAAATGCTGGGAACATGGGGGGATGATGGCAGAACCCTTGTACCATAGAGCCTCGCTGTACCCTTCCCTTCCAGTCCTGGACCCAGGGCTGACTTTTCGAATAAAACCACTCTGATTTTTTTGGCCCCCCAATTTTTTTTAGTCTGAGGCCCATTTTCCAAAAAGTGAATACTCTGATTTCTCAGGAACCAGAGAAGTATAACTCTGAAAATTTTATAATTCAGAGACTAAGGCAGGTTTTTCTACTAACGAACCTTTTGCACAAGTTCGGAGGGATGGGTTTTCGAAGTAACAGGTATGGCGAAGGGGAGTTCGTACTCTGTTGTATGAAAACTCATTATCCGGTAAGCAAGTTCTCTGAATTTTTCAGTATCGAAAAAACCATTAGTCTGAAGCACTCATTTTTCAAAACCAGCCAACTCTGAAAAATCAGGAATGTCAGGAAAATAGTCTGAAATTTCAGACAATCAGACTAAAATAGTCTGATATCGTCAGCCCTGCCTGGACCTCACTCTCTCCCGTTCTCTTTGCATGCATTTTTGCATCGGCTTCTGCCGCCTTTCCATTCCACTTCGCTGCTGTTGCCGGTGCAGGAGGCTGGCAGTAAATGCAAGGTTTCTAGTCAGTAAATATGTGTGCATGGGATGGTGTGGCATTGCATGAGGCCATGGTGTCACAGGTTGTTCTCATGGCGCCACCCCATCCCTTCTGCCCACCGCCCATGTTCCTGCCGAGAAATATCGCACACTCCCGACCCGTGCGGGTGCTGCTGCCGACGCTGCCCTTGTGCAGCGTACCCTTCCGCTGCGCTGCCGAACCTGCCCTTCTGCTGCTGCCGTACCTGCCTTGTGCTGCTGCCGAACCTGCCTTGTGCTGCGGTCGAACCTGCCCTTCTGCTGCTGCCGAACCTGCCCTTCTGCCCGCCGAACCTGACTTGTGCTGCTGCCGAACCTGTCTTGTGCTGCTGCCGAACCTGCCCTTATGCTGCTGCCGAACCTACCCTTCTGCTGCTGCCGAACCTGCCCTTGTGCTGCGGCCGAACCTGCCCTTGTGCTGCTGCCGAACCTGCCCTTGTGCTGCTGCCAACAAAACAAATCCAATGCCGCATCCACGTCACTTCCTCTTCTAGTTCCTGCCCTTGTGCTGCCCTTGTGCTGCTCTTGTGCTGCCCTTGTGCTGCTCTTGTGCTGCTCTCGGCCCAGTGTTGTTCCCGAGCCAACGGTGTTGTGCATCCAACAGTGTTGCTTCGCCAGCTGTGCTGCTGAGCTACTTTCCACACAAGGCATCGTGCCACACCACACTCCTCTCCACCTTTGTCATGGCTCAGCTCTTTCTCCCCCTTCGCTGATACCAAATCCTTCTCGTGCTAAGCCGCAGTTCTGGCGAGCGGGGAAGCAACAGCGGAAAGGGCAGAAGCAGCGAAAAAGCAGCAGGCAGAAGGAGCAGGGCAGCAGGAAAGAGGCAGCAGGAGCAGGGCAGCAAGAAAGGAGCGACGCACGAGCACCTTGGCTGGATCTGTTCCCTCTGCCCTGCCCCTGCTGCAAGCACCACCACAGGTACTCCCTGGGCCACACCCGTCTGCTCTATTGCATCTGCACCAGGAGAGCGCCGAGCGGGTCTGATGCGCTTGCCACTTGGTAAGGTACGTGCGTTCATGGAAGTTTGAGGGCGGGGTCGATGGGCTTGGTCAGGTACGCATCCAGACACTTCTTCTCGTCCACACCTGCTTGCTTGCTGGCCTGCCTGCTTGCTGGCTTGCCTGCTTGCTTGCTTGCAGCCCAGCGCACTGGCTTACGGCTGCATGGTCACCACCAGAGCCGCAGCAGGAGACACCGGCCGCTCCCCAAGAGCAGAACCAGATGCGCCTACCCCTTCCCCAGCAGCAGAGGCGTCAGATGTACCTGCAACGTCAACTGCTACACTCCCCTCCTCACCCTCCGCAATGCTCTCAATGTGAGGAACGCAGCAGAGCGGGTAGCGGGTCATGAGGGAGAGCAGTGTGTGCGCCATGAGGGCGGGGTCGATGGGCTTGGTGAGGTACGCGTCCATGCCCGCATCGAGGCACTTCTTCTCGTCGCTGGTCATGGCGTGGGCTGTGAGCGCCACTATGGGTGTGTGGAACCGCGTGCCTGCCTCCGCTGCCCTGATGGCTGCTGTCGCCCCGTAACCATCTAGCACCGGCATCTGCAATGAGGAAACGGGGAAGAGGGTGGTCGTAAGTTGGGAGGGTCAGAAGCAAGAGGGGGATGGGAAGCGGTGAGTACGCATCCACGCCCTCGTCCAGGCACTTGTTCCCGTCGCTCTTCCATGAGCATGAGAGGGCCATCAATCAAGCCTACCTGGTAGTCCATGAGCACGGCATCGTATCGCGTGGCCGCGTCTCCCTGTGACCCCGCAGCAGCATGTGACATCAAACCAATGTGACCTCTGAGTCGACTCAAAAGTCAAGCCTATCTGGCAGTCCATGCGCACAAAAGCGGCGCCCAGCCCAAGGCCCACCTGGCAGTCCATGAGAACAGCATCGAAGTGCATGGCGGCGTCTCCCTGTGTGTGTCTAGCAGCAGCACGTGAAAAAAAACCAGCCAAAGTGACCTCTGAGTCAACTGAAAAGCCCCAAAGAGTGCTTTCAGGCCGGCAAGCCCACCTGGCAGTCCATGAGCACAGCATCGAAGTGCGTGGCGGCATCTCCCTGGGTGTCTCTGGCAGCGTAGGTGGCGAGAATGGCGTCCACTGCCTGCTGCCCGTCACACACCGCCTCCACCTCGCACCCCAGCTTCTGCATTCGGATTATCGCCACCTGGGGGAGGGGACAGGGGAGGGGGAGGGGGTTGGGCAGGTGGGAGTTGAGGGTAGAACCGGGGGGACGACTAGGAGTCAGATATGGGTCACACACTGCCTCCACCTAGCACTCCAGCTTCTGCATCCGGATTATGGCCACCCGGGGAGGGAGAAGAAAGGGCGGAGTGAGGGGAGTGGAGGAGCAGAGACAGGGAGTGATGAAGGTAGTTGTTGGGAGTAGATCAGACGACGAAGACAGGCAGTTGGTTAGGTGTCACACATAGCCTCCACCTCACACCCCAGCTTTTGCATTCGGATTAGGGCGACATGGGGATGGGGGGGAAGGGGAGGGAGGAGGGGAGAGATGGGTTGAGTTGGGAGGTGGGAAGGAAGGAGGCCAGTGTCGCACTCACCTTGCGCAGCAGCGCCGTGTCATCAGCAATGAGCACGCGCTCGCCCGCCAGCGCTGTCTCAAACCCGTATACAATACGCCCCTTTGACTGCCCACCCGCCCCCCTGGCCACCATCCCACTCACCTTGCGCAGCAATGCTGTGTCCTCTGCAATGAGCACACGCTTCCCTGCCAGTGCTGTCTCAAAGTTGCCCTCCCCTGCTGCCCCCGGTGAATGCTGCTGCCACATCACGCCCAGGGAAGGGAGATGACCATGGGGGAAGGGGAGGGAAGGGGAGTGAGTGAGGGGTGGCTAGCAGCAGGGGGCCAGCGTCGCACTCACCAGCGTAGCAGCAGGGGGCCAGGGAAAAAAGAGGAAAGAGGATGAAGGGAAAAAAGAGGTAAGAGGATGAAGGGAAAAAAGAGGAAAGAGGATGAAGGGGAAAAAGAGGAAAGAGGATGAAGGGAAAAAAGAGGAAAGAGGATAAAGGGGAAAAAGAGGAAAGAGGATGAAGGGAAAAAAGAGGAAAGAGGATGAAGGGGAAAAAGAGGAAAGAGGATGAATGGAAAAAAGAGGAAAGAGGATGAATGGAAAAAAGAGGAAAGAGGATGAAGGGAAAAAAGAGGAAAGAGGATGAAGGGGAAAAAGAACTTGGCGGGGAGAGAGACACACGCAAGCACACGCACACACAGTGTTCCACCACCAGAGAACTCCTGTTTTTCTGTCCCAGGGGGAGGGACGTACGCACAAACATGCACGCCCACAAGCGCACAAGCACGCGCACCCCCTCCCACATGCACATGCACACCCAAACATGCTCGCACGCGCGCACGCGCACACACACACACCTTGATAGACCGAGCGCGGCCCACTCTGTGTGTCGACCCCTTGCCACTGCCACCATCCCTCGGACTATCACTCGCCCCTCCCACCCCTGCTGCCACCCTCGGCCCTTCCCCTCCCCCACCAGCAGCTGCAGCTCCTGGCGACCCCACCGCTCCTCCTCCTCCCAACCCCCCTGCCCCTCCCCCTGCTCCGCCTCCCCCTCCCCCCACGCCCCCGCGTGCCATGAGTCTCGCAGAGGGGGATATGCCGCCCGCTGCTGCTGCCAGCGACGCCGGGGACGGCAGCGCCCTGCGGGATCCCGCTGCTGACGTGGCGGGCGCCTGTTTGTCCACTGCCCCGTCCTCCTCCTCCACTGGTGGGGGGAGCGACCAGCTCTGTGGAATGAGGGGGGGGAGGGGAGGGGAGGGGAGGGGAGGGGAGGGGAGGGGAGGGGAGGGGAGGGGAGAGGGAGGGGAGGGGAGGGGAGGAGAGGGAAGGGGAGGGGGGGGGGAGGGGAGGGGAGGGGAAGAGAGGGAAGGGGAGGGGAGGGGAGGGGAGAGGGAGGAAGGATGAGGGCCGCCACACCTTTGAGAAGGAGCAGGAATGGGGAGAGGGCGGGTTCATCCTACATCAAAATAAGAAAAAAGAAAAGAACAGGCACAAAAGAAGAACACATCAGGCCAGCAGAGAAGCAGTATTCCTCACCGAGTCCTCTCCATGCCAGTGTGGCCCCGCACCTCCCCCACCACCCCCTCCTCCGCCTCCCCCTCCGCCTCCCCCTCCCCCTTGCTCCCTCCTCCCTACCCCTGCACTCGGCAGCGGCGGCATGTCAATACTCGAACTCGAGTGCGCCACACCATTCCTCGCCGTCGCCAGCGCAAGCAGCGGTGCCATGCGGGAAGCATACAGAGGCTTGGACGCCACAGCACACCCCGACCGACGCAGCGACCGCCTGGTATCCGCCGACGTGTTGTGCTCCACGAGCCACGCGATCACAAACCCCTGGTGCTGCAGCCTGGCCCTGAAGATATGTAGCTCTTCTGCTATGAACTGGTACAGGTTCGGGACGAGGGAAACATCGATTATCGCGAGGACGAGCCGGGAGTTGGCGGATCCGAAGCTGTTCCTGCCGGCGGTACCTGCGCCGTCGTCCCCGACCATTCCGGGGCTATTTACCCTACCGTGCTCGTTGAAGGAGCTTCGAGAAAACGACGACGCTGGAGACATGGCTCGGCCCAGACCTGCGCTGCTCCCTGCTGCAGCGGCTGGACTTGCTACCGAGGCACCACTATTTACCGAGCCTGAGGCGTAGGGCTGGCTCGGAGGAACACGATCTCTCGGGGTGGTGGGGCGATGACCAGCAGGACCGGCAGCAGGGCTGGCCGAGCCTCCCCCGTCCCTAAACGACGCCCCTTGGCTCTGATTCTGCTCCGGAATCGGACTAAACACCCCGTCCCTCCCCGCTCCCGCACCTGCACCGCCCCTCCCGTTCGCCCCAGCCCCTCCCGGCTGAAACGACCGAGCCAGCGGCGCGGAAAACCCCACCATAGACCTCGACACCCTCGGCTGCAGCCCTGCTCTATCCGACGCTCGGTGAACAAGCATAGACGAGACGGCCGGCATGATATCGCCCCACTGCGTGGCCCGCCACACGTGCAGCTTCCGTCGCTCCAGCCACGCGCAGGCGATGGCAGCGCCGGCGGATTCCTCGCGCATGGCAAGGAGGACTTGGCCGCCCTCGACGGTGGTGAGCTTGGGGAGGAGGAACTCGGGCTGCAGCATGCTGTTCTTCCACACGCTGCTGTGGTCCAGCGCCTCAAAGCACAGGTCAAACCGGAACCGTGCTCCCGCCCCCTCCTTGTCCACCACCGCTATATGCCCTCCCATCAGTTGCACCTGCGGAAAGGGGGAGGGAGTGGAAGGAGGCGAAACCATGGTGTGACCAGACTCCGCCCGTTTCCATGAAGAGCACTCCTTGTCCACAACTGCTATGTGCTCGCCCATCAGTTGCACCTGCGGGGGAGAGGGGAGTAGGAGTGGGGGGACGGAGCGAGAAGGTCAATAAAGCTATGATGCCCCCCCCCCCCCCTCCCCACGCCATGTTGGCCCTCTTTGTCCACGACGGCTATGTGCCCGCCCATGAGTTGCACCTGCCGTGTGGGGAAGAGAGGAGTACCAAACATCAGTTGCCCCTTAGAGTTCTCCATTCACATTATGATGCCCCGCCCCTTTCCAAGCCGCCATGTTTGCCGTCCTTGTCCACCACAGTTACGTGCCCGCCCATCAGTTGCACCTGCGGAGGGGCAGCGGGAGAGGGAGGAAGGGCATCACTCCCTAAACGAAAGGCAGGGGTTGAAAAGGCAGCTACGCGAAGGCAAAGGAGGAAGCAAGGCGTATTACCAACCAAAACAAACCAGACCAAACCAAACCAAACCAAACCGAACCAAACCCAACCCTAACCCTAACCCTAACCAGAACGCACCAGGGATTTGACGATGCCCAGCCCAAGCCCAGTGCCTCCATAGGTGGAAGTAATGTGTACTACCAGCCAAACCAAACCCTAAAACGGCAGGACAAACCAAGCCAGAACGCACCAGGGATTTGACGATTCCCAGGCCGAGCCCGGTGCCCCCGTGGGTGCGGTTGGTGGAATCATCCACCTCAAACATAAACGTCACCATCCGCCTTCCCCGAGCCCCCATTCACACTATGATGCAAAACCCCCCACCCCCGCCCCCCCCCCCCCCCCCCGGCTCACCCGCCCGTGGACGGTGGTGGGCTTGGGGAGGTGTGCTACCAACCAAACCCCGAAACCGTATGCCAAACCAAACCGGAACGCACCAGGGATTTGACGATGCCCAGCCCCAGCCCCGTGCCGCCATGGGTGCGGTTAGTCGAAGCATCGGCCTGCTGGAAGTTTTCAAAGACGAGCTGCCTCTTGTGCGTGGGGATGCCCGGCCCCGAATCATCCACCTCAAACATAAACGTCACCATCCGCCTCTCCCGACCCCCCTCCTTCCCCCCCGCACCCGCCCCCCCTGCTGCACCTGCACCCCCTCCTGCTCCCCCTGCTGCTGATGCTGCGCCTGCTGCTGCTGAAGTGTCAGTGTCACCCTCTGTGCTGCCTGCAGCGTCGGTGGCAGCGCTGGTGGTGGCGGAAGCTGGCGTGCCGTCCGCGTCCACACTGGGACCGTGGCCGCTGCGCCTGGGAAGTAAGGAGGGAGGAGAGAGGGAGGACGGGGCGGGGGGGTGGGGAGAGTGGGGGTGAGGAAGGAGGGGGACCCATCGCCTTCCGCACTGCCTGCAGCGTCGGTAGTGGCGGTGGTGGTGGCTGAAGGCTACAGGCCGTTTGCGTTTCACTATTCCTCCCTGACCCCCGACCTCCTTCCTCCCAGTCTCCCCAATCCCAAACTGCTTACCCTTCCCCCCCTTGCCTGCCCGACCCCCCATGCATTCCCCCTTCTTGACCAATCCCAGCCCTCCCCGTTCGCCCACCAGTCCCCCTACCCCCTGTGCTCCCCCTCCCCTCTCGCCAATGCGTCCCAGACACAGACGCCCCCCTCCCTCATTCCCCCACCCACTCACTTCTTCTCCCCTGGGATGGACAGGTCTGAGTCGCGGAGGTGGGGTGGCGGGTTGTGTCTCATCCACCCCCTCACAATGACCTGCCCGTTCCGCGTGAACTTGCACGCGTTGCTCAGCAGATTCGCAAACACCTGGCGAGCAGCAGGAGAGGATAGGAAAACGAGGGACGAGGGAGTTGAGGGGCAGGGCAGAGGGAGAAAAGAGGGAGAGGGAGACAAGGGAGACGAGGGAGACAAGGGAGACGAGGGGCAGATGGGAAAAAGAGGGAAAGGGGGACGCGGGAGTCGAGGGGAAGAGGGAGAGGAGGGGAACAAGGGAGAGGGGCGAATAGGGAGTGGAAGTGAGAGTGGATGAAGGCAAGCGAGTGTTGCGAAACATCTTGGTGCATTGTGAGGGGGCAGCATGGGAGCAGGAGGGGAGGAGGAGGTTGCGGGGGAACGAGGGAGGAGGGCAATTAAGAACAAAAACCGAGATGCCTGCTTTCCAGCACCTCCAGCTGCATGCACTCACGCCCACGCATGCATGCACGCACCCGCCGTTCCACCACAGCCCACAAGCCAGACAAGCAAAACAACACCAACCTTCTTTTAGACGCCCCAATCCAGCACTGCCCTCCCCGGCCCCCCTCGCACCTGTCGGACCCTTGAGGGGTCTCCCTTCACAGTCCTCTCGATGTCATCCGAGAGATCGAGAGCAATCTCCGTCCCGCTGCTGAGCTCGTGCACGCTGAACATGTCGACGAGCGACTTGAGCTCGCCCACAATGTCAAACTCCAACACCTCCAGCTGCATGCGCTCACGCATGCATGCACACACCATTCCACCGCAGCACACCCACCATACAAGCACAACACCACCAGCCTGCATCCAGACACCTCGGGCCCGTTCTCACCTGTCTGACCCTGGACGGGTCTCCCTTCACAGTCCTTTCAATGTCATCCGACAAGTCAAGCGCGATTTCTGTCCCATTGCTCAATCCCTGCACGCTGAACATGTCGACCAGTGACTCGAGCTCGCCCACAATGTCAAACTCCAACACCTCCAGCTGCATGCGGCCCGCCTCCACCTTGGCCAGGTCCAGCAGGTTGTTCAGCAGCCCCAGCAGGGAGGCGCAGCACGACTTCATCTGCCTCAGGTTGGCTTCTTGTTCGGCTGTTAGATGGTCGCACAGCATGATGTCTAGCAGACCCAGGATGCTGGAAGCAGGGGGAACAAGCAGGGAAGAAATTGGGGTGTGATGGATGGAGGGAGGCAGGGGGTGAGAGGGAGGTGAGCAGAGAGCAGCAGCACCTCCAGCTGCATGCGGCCCGCCTCCACCTTGGCGAGGTCCAACAGGTTGTTCAGCAGCCCGAGGAGCGACGCACAGCACGACTTCATCTGCCTCAGATTGACTTCCTGCTCCGCTGTTAGATGGTCGCACAACATTATGTCCAGCAGACCCAGGATGCTGGAGGAGGATGGAAGGGCAGGGGGGAAATTGGGGTGTGATGGAGGGATGCGCAGCACGACTTCATCTGCCTCAGGTTGGCCTCCTGTTTTGCCGTGAGATGGTCGCATAGCATGATGTCCAGCAGATGCAGGATACTGCAAGAGGAGGGAAGGGCAGGGGGGGATTGGGGTGTCATGGAGGGCTGGAGGCAGGGAGTGAGAGGGAGGTGGGCAGGGAGGGAGCAGCAGGTACGGGTGCTACATGCGCCCCGCCTCCACCTTGGCGAGGTCCAGCAGGTTGTTGAGCAGCAGGACCAACCAGCCCCACCCCTCACTCACCCGGCCATGGGCGTCCGCAGGTCGTGGGAGATGTTCGCCAGAAATTGACTCTTGACCTCAGAGGCGGCCTGGGCTCGCTGCGTCTCCTCCTTCTGGCGCTGCAGCTCCTCCTTGGGGCGCATGCGCGTGTCCACGTAGAGCGTGAGGAAGATCACCACCACCCACCCCAGCAGCAGCAGCCCCACCGCCACGCAGGATGTCACGATGATCATTGTCTCCATCTCGTGATCCACTGTACCCATGATGGACGTGCGTGGCAGGATGATCACCAGATACTGGTGGGTTGGAGAGAATGGTGGAGAGGGGTGGAGAGGGTTTGGGACGGTTGGGGACATGCAAGAGGTGAAGCTAATCATCATCTCTATCTCCTGATCCATCACTCCCATTGCAGACGTGCGTGGGAGGATCATCGCCAGGTACTGGTGGGTTAAGATTGGGCAGAGTGGGGAGGGGACACACAAAGGCACTGCTTCCATCTCGTGGTCTACAGTCCCCCACCACCCATCAGCGAGGTGGTGTGTCATGGTCAGAGGGTTCTCACCAGGCATTGGTTGAGGACTCGGGGGCTGCAATGGAGATGGTCAAGGGCAGCACATACCAGCCAGCCTGGCAGAGCCCATGTGCCAACCTGGCAGAGCCCATCTGCCTACTTGGCAGAGCCCATGTGCCAACCTGCAACCCCAACTCTAAGGTCACCACCAACCATTCACAAAGCGTACCAAAAATTTCACCCCTTTCTCTTCTCTCACTCTGCACTCTTTCCCATCTTCCCTCCATACCAGCCTCACCTTATCAGCTCACCAGCCTCAGCTCCCTCCCCCCCCCCCCCCCCTCCCCCCCTCACGTATCAATCCCCCCCCCCTCGCTTATCAGCTCACCAGCTTCAGGTTATCAACGGCGAAGCCCATGCTGCTGACATACCACGCGCGCCCCACCACATCCACATTGCTCAGACTATAATTCCCCGCCACCAGCGCCGGCAGCCCAAACTCCCGCTCCAAATACCGCGCCACGCCTGCAATTGTCGCATCCTCCACATCAGTCGCATTCACAAACTGCTGCAGCCGCCCCTCCCCAGTTGGAGTGGATGTAGCTACCCCTGTCGACGTAGCCACCAGGAACCCCTCAGAGCTCCCGATGTACATCACGCAGCCCTCTATTGTGTCCTGCAGGAGAAACCGGTTCACTATGCCCACGGAAGACCCCAGAATGAGCACGCCCACAGGGGGAGTCACCCCCGGGCTGTGCACAGCCGAGCTGGCGACAAGCATCGGGCCGGACAGGTCCTGAATTGCGTTGAACGTCCACAGGAGATTCTCCTCCCCCCGCTCGATCTGCTGGTACAGCTCCGTTGACCCCAGCCGCAGCGGCTTGAACGGCGTCGGGGTGTTGTTTGCGGGCAGCCCGGAGGAGGAGTTTATGGGCAGGATGAACCAGGGGGCGGTGGAGTTGGGGAGAACGTTTTTGGAATAGACCATTGAGAGAGATCCGTCCTGCGAGGCGAAGGACTGTTTTGCCAGATCGTACTGTGCGTATGTTACAAATGGGCCGGTCATGCTGTAGTAGCCGAGAGTGGTGATGTGTGGGAGTGAGCTCTTGAAGAACGACCAGAGTAGCGGACGGACCTGGAAGGTGGGAGGGGATGGGATTGGGGAATGGTGGGGATGGAGGCGGAACGGGTGGGAGGGATGAGGCGGACGGGCGAGGAGGAGGGTTGACTATGTGCTGTGCAGCGATGGTGATTGGTAGGGTGCTAACGAGTCATGTGGACCCGTGGTGCTATGATAAGAGAACGGTTAAGAGAACGGATTAGTCATGTAGATTTAGATACACAGGAGTGACGGCAAATGCATATGCTTGTGATGGCATGGCATATGCATGTGCCTGTGATGGCACATGCATAAAGCTTTAGTGGGAAATGCGTGTACAGTGATACATATAGATCTGCCATAATGGCACATGCATGTAACCGTGCTGGCATACGCATGTTTGCATGATTGGAAGCGCATGTGATGTGAACGTGTATGTGGATGAGCCCGATACCGGCTTCCACCGTCCACCACCGCCTACCACAGTCTACCATCACTTCCGACCCTTCGCCCACGCACCAGTCTGAGGTTATCGTTAAGGGTTAGGTTCCACGTGCGCAGCTGCTGAAAGGTGGTTTCGAGCACAGAGGAGAGCGACACGAGCACGTCGCGGTCGCGGTTTATGTACAGCAGGAACTGCTCCTGCACGCCCACTAGGGTCTTCTCGCGCAGCCTGCCAGGGGGAAAGGGGGGGTGGGGGGTGTCGGGGTGGGCAAAAAAGCATCCTCTATACATCGCGCTGGTGGTTTATCTACAGCAGGAACTGCCCCTGCACGCCCACTAGGGTCTTCTCACGCAGCCTGCGGAGGAGAGCGTGGGAGGTAGGAACGAAAACCCATGCGTGCCTAGTTGACGAAGCTAAAACTTGGGTATACCCTACAATGATGGAATGCCCTGGGCGGGACCGAATATTTGGTTGCGGAAGTTTTTTTCAGGGAGCGTGGGGAGATGGGGGGATGAGACATGCGATTGAGCAAAGCAGCTCTTTATTGGTCGTTTCGAGTAGTTCATGAGCCGCAGAGAATGGAACGACGATCGTACAGTCAGTCTTCAAGTCCGGCTATGGTCAATTGCGGCGCAAATTGTCACACGCGATGATTGCGTTGCGGGGAACGGGAGAAGGGGATAGAGAGCGGGTAAGCGGGAAGGTCAAGGGGACGGGAGTGGGAACGGGGGAACGTACTGAAGGGCGACGGCGTCGAGCGATTGGCTGTAGGCAGTTCTGGCGGCGAACCACGTGCCGACTGTGAGCACCACCACCACTATCACCAGAAACGCCTGCCAATCCAATCATCGACAGATTCTCAAGTATGAGCACCACCGCCACTATCACCAGAAACGCCATCACTGACTGAAAGGCCGAACAAACGAACCTCAATCAGACCAGCGATATTACGAACGCTACAGGACGGACGCACACCATCATTGGCGACAGGAGATTCGGAATGATGAACCAAGTCTAGACCGACAGGATCAGCGAAATTTACGACGTTCTAGAAGCGGAAACATTATAAATTACAAAATATGGAGCCGTTAGGGTTCGGACGACGAAACTTTATATAAGAAAGAAAGAAAGAAAAAAAAAACAAATGTGCAGCAACGGGTCTACGATAGGATTTGAAACCAACGATCCAAGAGAGAATGTACGAGCAATAAACTCAAATCCCTGGACTTGCGCGCACCTCCTCCAGTTTTAAGCTAACCAGAAACTAGGTTCCTTCTCGAGACCTCGCGAACCACTTTGCGAAGTCATTATGCGCTGTACAACGCAGCTCCGTGCTCGCAAGCTTCAGTTCGTCCGAACGCTAAAACGAAGGCACAAGTATGAACGCTCGTTAGCGTTTAACCAACCCCTAAGACTATGTTCTTGCTGTGTGGACGGTCAAAACGTTTACTAATGAGAATCGTCGCTCTGCTTCTAGTATCAATTTGTGAAGTAAGCAAGCTGTGAGCTGGTCTGTGCCGACTGGCCCTCGCTGGCCGTACTTTCCACGTACAGTCACTGCTGTTAGCCGTACGATAACGTACCATCATAACTAGCCGGGTGATAAAAACGGGGGATTGTAAGTGCTGCATCAACTGTTGCCGTTTCGACGGCTTCTTCGTCAGCAGCGCGTCATCCTCCTCCGCTCCTTCCCCAGATTCCTCCCCCGCTACCTTCTCCGCTCCCTCCGGTTTCGCTTTATTCTTCGTCGCGACCTTCTTCGGTTTGCTCGCCGCGCCTGAATTCGCCACTCTTTGCGCTTCCTCGTCATCTTCCCCCGCGACTGCGTCTCGTTCTGGGAATCCCATTCTACAGAATCGGTTCGCGCTAAGCACGCCGCACATCTGCAGCGCTCGCTCTTTTCTTGTCATTGTGACTCTCACCGGCGAATGAATCCCATTGTCCCAATGGCTGTCGCTTATTTCGTCACTTACGCCACTCTCGCGACTATGCGACTGCCTAATGGTTGGGAGCTCGTTTGGCATGTCCTGGGAACCGACTGATAACACCACAATATTAGCAGGACATGCTTTCCGGGGTCTTCTAGGAGGCTAGGACCGAAAGGGATCGGTATGCTGGTATCAAATCAGAAATGATAGGCTGTGCTGCCATTACTGCACATAGCAGAGGGGACGACTTCGAGGGAAGAGGCACCTGGAAAAGGTACTTGGCAACCAAACAGATCACGGCAAAACCTATGTGACGTTGTCAATCTCGAGGGACGTTGTTTCATTTTGGTTAGACACCGTACTACACCGTTTTTGTCTATTTTTGCACCCTATTGAAACGCGCCCAACCTCGTGGAAAAAGGAGGTCCTGAGGGTGATCGAACCTGTACCCACTGTGAAACAAGCTGGCAGAGGCGGCACTGGGAATACCAATGTGTCAACAGATGCGTGAACAGGTGTGACAGTCAGACAGAGAGGAGGAATGCATCGCCATGTTTCGCCCACTGCTGGAAGCCAGACAGCAAAAAACGAGCCCAAGGCGAGGCGGGGCAAGGCGAGCCCAGGCACAAAACTGTTGCAGTGAACTGTGGCTGCTGCTCGCGTGGCACCAGGATGGCGGGAAATTTTTCACGTGGCGAAATTTTTCGCCGCAATTTCCCCGTCAGCCAAAATCCGAATATGCAAAAGGCATCTTGCGAAAATGCCCACTCGCCACCACACCCTTCCTATCTCCAGACAGCAAAACCTACCAATCAAAACCTATCAATCCTCCGCCTCAACTCTCCTCCTATCCTCATCATCTTTCTCATCCCATTATCCACCAATCAAACAAAATATTCCATACCAAGCCTTCCAATCCAAGCCACATTCATTCCACTCACCAAGCCTTAAAATCAAAGCCAAATACATCCCATTCACCAAGCCTTAACTTCAAGGCCACATTCATTCTCTTCACCAAGCCTTCACTTCAAAGCCACATTCATCACCCCCATCTTATCCAACTCAACCAATCACAACCATTCATCATTTCCTCATCCTTCATCCAACATCAAGCTCCACCAAATACAAAAGGGTCCTCTTCATTTCTTCAAACATATATTCTTCAATGCTACTTCATACCCAAACTCTCAACAAGTTCTTCAAGCTCCCTCAAGGCCAACCTCAAGTCCTCCTCCTTATGCTCTAGCTCCTAAGGCTTCATCATCACCACCAACCTCTCCCAACCCAAGCTCATAGCCATATGCTCCAATTCTAGAGAAGTTTGTGCCACATAGTTTTACTTCTAGATCATCAAGGATAGTTGATCTCAAGATCCTACCATGTACCTCATTTTGATTAATGTACTTTAAAGCTTCAAGCAAGATTGGTGTATTTTTCTACCCAAGGTCCAAGCTCCAACCTCAACATCCAAGCTTGGAGGTTTCTCTTCATTCAACAAACATTATCTACAAGTCAACATTCAAGATCAACTTCTCAACATTCAAGCTTTGAGGTTCTTCATTGACAACTAAGACAACATTTAAGCTTGAAGTGAAGATCAACTTCTACAACATAATAGTAAGAACTCTTTTCAAGTAAGTGGTTATCTCTTCCTCTCATTTTTCACCAAGTTTCTTTTACATCAAAGTTCATTTGCTATTATCAAGTTGTTTTATATTCAAGCTCTTTCCATAATAATCAAGTTCTTATTTTCAAGTTCGTTACAAGCTCCCTTCAAGTATCTTTCAAGCCCTTTACCTTTTCTTCAATACTTTCTTTTAAGCCAATCTTGTTTGGTCCCTTTTATCCTTATCAAGTCTATCTATCTTCTCTTTCAAAGCTTTCTTCATTCTTAATTACTCCATACTTCAAGATTTCCTTTCAACTTGTTTTTGCTTTTCAACTTGGTTTTACTTTGATCTTATCTTTTCTTTCTAGGTGTTTTATTTCTTTCTCCTTACCATTTACCCTCCCTCGTCTATCACTTCAATTTCAAGATGGTATCAGAGCCCGAGTTCATTCCTTTTTGCTATTTCTTCCGTGCGCATCTTGTCTAGGTTTTTTTTTTTAAGCCCGTTATTTGCCATTAGTGGCATCCTTGCACTTGGTCTTGCGCCCCCTTTTGGGTCCTCCTTTTTGTGTTTCCCCTTTTTTTGCTTTTTGTGTTTGTGTATGTGTGTGTGTGTGTGTTGTCAGAACTAGCAGTAGAAAGTAAGAATGAAGAAAGGAGGGTTTCACTAGCAAGCAGTTGAGTACATATAGGAAACCCTAGATTGGGCTGTACTCGCTATAGAGCACCCCACTGCAGGCTAGACAAATACAACATTCTGACACACCCCCATAGTCAAAGTGGGGTGTAATCAGCACAATGAGCAGGTATAGCAGGAGTTCACAATAAGAAAGCAAAGCTAGAGGTAATCACAACGGGCAAGTGAGGAGGAGGAGGGACTGTGAGAGGAGAGAAGATGAGAGACGGCGGCTGAAGCTGCAGACACACGGGCAACAGGAGCTGCTGGCACAGTGGCTACCGGGACAGTGCGCCCCGGACTACTGGAGTAACTGGCTCACGGGCTACGACGAGCTACAGGAGCAACGGACCCTCGGGCGACAGGCGCAGCAGACTCTCTGGGCTACCAGGACAGTGCGCCCCGGACTACAGGTGCTGCGGACGACAAGATAGCAGCCTCCGCTCAACCTCCTCCAACTGTCCCACACACCCCCCACACACCCACTGCTTCACTCCTAACTCCACTTGCACGTCACCCCCCTAGTACCACTCCTTCGGCTCCCACACACCCACCCCCCTCAGCGGCAGCTGCAGCACTGGGAGACGGAGGAGGAGGAGGAGCAGGGGACGACGCACAGAAACTGCACCCCCATACCCCCCACCCCCAAACCCTAATTCAGGAGAACGGGCAGCAGCACGGGTGGGGCGCCGTCAGAAGCACGGGGGACAGCGGGCAGCGCAGGGGCAGAGAAAACAGGGCGCCCACGGGCCTGGCGCAGCCCGTACGAACCGCGTGCGGGCGGCCCGAGGCGCGCCCTGGCCTGGCGCAGTCCGTACGGGCCGCGCGCGGGCCTGGCGCTGCCCGTACGGGCCGCGCGCGGGCCTGGCGCAGCCCGTACGGGCCGCGCGCGGGCCTGGCGCAGCCCGTACGGGCCGCGCGCAGGCTGTACGGGCCGCGCGCGGGCCCTACGCAGGTCGCGCAGGCCGCGACGAGCGACGGGGGGCGACGCGCGGGTCCCCGTCGCCCGTCGCAGCGCCTCCCGGGAGCGACGCGCGGAGTGACGGGGCAGAAAGCCGCCGCGCGCCTCGGGGCGCACGGCGGGCAGAAAACCGCCGCACGCTCCGAGCGCGTGGCGGGATGAAAAATCCGTCGCACGCCACGGGGCGTGCAACACACAGAGTAGCAGTAGCAGCGGAAGCAGTGAGGTGGTGGGCCCACCCAGAGGATCGACCCAAGGGGATCGACCTGCTCTGATAGCATGTCAGAACTAGCAGTAGAAAGTAAGAATGAAGAAAGGAGGGTTTCACTAGCAAGCAGTTGAGTACATATAGGAAACCCTAGATTGGGCTGTACTCGCTATAGAGCACCCCACTGCAGGCTAAACAAATACAACATTCTGACATGTGTGTGTGTGTTTGTCTATTTCCCCTTCCCCTTGTGTGAAATTGTTTGATTTTATCAGGAGTTTCGGGAGTTTTAATTTACCAACATGGATGAAAAGGACTCAAGTGTTCCTATGGGATCAACTTCACCAGCTGTAACCACAAACTCTTCAAACGAATCAGCACCTCCTACAACCAACACATCATCTCCATCTACACCACCTACTACATCTACATTTACCTCCTCCTTAGTCCCCAAATTGGAGCTTCCACGCTTCAACGGCAAAGGTTTTTCATCATGGAGCATCCGCTTTCAACAAGCCGCCACTCTTCTTGATCTTTGGCCTATCTACATCGGCCAAAACACTCCCCCTTCAACTGCTGCACCTGATCAAGAACAGAGCAACTGGATCAAGAAAAATGCTGAAGCTTATCTCTATCTCCTCTCTTCCATTCAAGACCCCTACTCTCAACCCCTCCTCCTCGTATCAACTTAAAAGGACAGTGCCAGAGCTGCTTGGGAGCGGCTCAAACGTCTTCATCAACCTATTTCCCAAGGTTCTAAGGCAGAAGTGTGGAACAAGATTGTCTCTCTCCGCATGGGGGAGAGTGAGTCCATCCCCGACTACTTACAACGTGGTGAAATGGTCCTTTACGAAGCTACACTTCTCGACATTGAGGTCCCGGAATCTCTCTTCATCACCATTCTTCTAGCCAGACTTTCATCTGGATGGAGCACTATGAGAAGCACCATTCAAGCCTTTCCTGAGGAGACAAGGACCCGAGATTTCATCTTCAACACGCTCATCACCGAACATCAGACAAGAGAACTTGCAAAGCTTCATAGAAATCCTGGACCAGCATGGAGTGGAATGACAAGTTCCAACTATCGCCCTCAACAAAGTGTTCAACAACAGAGCAAGTTTCAGCAAGGTAAGTCCTCTCAAACCCCAACACACTCTCTCCTTGGACAACCCACACCAAGTCATATTTCTCAGCTTGCATCATACTCTAATCATATTCCTTATAAGCCAAAATCAAGGTATCAATTTGAGTGTCATTATTGTCATAAATGGGGACATCCTTGGTTCAAGTGCAACATACGTCCTGCGAACTGGACACCACCTTCATCTCTGCTTTCTGACAAAGGAAGGGCTGCCATTGCTATTACATCCCATACCCCTCCAGAAAATCAACCAGACAGTGCGCATCATGGGCCATTCTTTCAAAATGCTTCCCAAGTCTCATCTCAAAACCATGTCTCTGCTTC